CGACATAGTGGTTGTACCTACTGATGAGAGGCATGCATAGGTGGCTACAGCACGGGACCACGACGGGGCTAGAGGATGGCTTTTGTGATCCTGAAACCACCACCGCGTGTAGATCTATTCTCTCGGATGTCTGCTTTGCACGAGGCTGGGTTTGATGTGCCCTCGAGTGGCCTCGGGAAAAAAAAACAGGGGTGTGGTGGCGGTGAGAAGAAGACCCGTGGCCGTCAAGCTGAACCGTTTGCAATCGAGATCTGACTGTCGTCGCAGGTAGCAGCGGTTCCTGTTTATGCATGCTGAAGGCCACTGTTGGGCTTCAACATCAGGGGCCATGTCCACTGCACTACAGTGACATCAGGGGCCATGTCCGCGTAGCCATCTGAATAGTCATCGGCATAGACATCTCAATAGGCGATGTCACTGTAGCGCAGAAGGAGGCCCCTGCTTGGCAACCTCCTCCTGCGCTACTGTGACGTCAGGGGCCATGTCCACTGCAGTCGTGGTGTAAAACGCCACTTTTTCTTCACAAATTGTTATTGCCCGCGAAGATAACGTTAACGTAAGGACCCTTGATTTTTTTTTTGAGAAAAAGTGGCGTTTTACACCACGACTGCAGTGGACACGGCCCCTTGATGATTCTGTCTCACCGACAAATTGTTATTGCCCTCGATGATTCTGTCTCATCTGACTGCCGATCAGAATTTTGAAACCGTCTTCCCGCGAATATAATGTTATGGGTTTTGCAGCTGCATCTGGACTGGAAGTTGACCCATAGACAGCTGGACCTATAATGACCGTAAGTTCGATTCGGGGATAGAGTAGGTGGGTGGTCCATAAAACATGCGATACTAATCTGCATAGACATCGTCTCCGTATGAGCTGCATCGGTTGAGATGGCTATGGCGACGACAAATGCTGGCTTAGCCAGCTATGCAATCTGAACGGCCTATACGCAGGTGGGTATTCAGATGGCTATGCTGATGGCTATTCAGATGGCGCTATGCAGATGGCTGTGCAGATGGTATGCAGATGGCTGTGCAGATGGCTATGCATATGGCTATTCAGGTGTCTCTGCCGATGGTTATGCAGATGGTTATGCGGATGGCTATGTCGATGGCTATGCGGATGGCTATTCAGATCGGTTGAGATGGCTATGCGGATGGCTATTCCGATTACTATTCGGATCGATTGAGATGGCTATGGCGACGACTACGCTGGCTTAGCCAGCTATGCAATCGGAACAGCCTATACTCAGGTGGCTATTCAGATGGCTACACCGATGGCGATGCTGATGGCTATGCAGATGGCTATTCATATGGCTGTGCAGATGGCTGTTCAGGTGTCTCTGCCGATGGTTATGCAGATGGCTATGTTGATGGCTATGCGGATGGCTATTCAGATCGGTTGAGATGTCTATGCAGACAACTATGCGGCATAGCCCGCTATGCAATCTGAAGAGCCTTTACTCAGATGGCTATGCTGATGGCTATGCAGATGGCTATGCAGATGGCTATTTGGATGCCTATTGAGATGTCTATGCCGATGACTATTCAGATGTCTATGCCGATGACCATTCAGATGGATACGCGGATGGCTATTCAAATGGCTATTGGGATGGCTATGCAGATTGCTATTCGGATGGCTATGCCGATGGCCATGTACTTTGGATGGGTTGAGAGAAACCTGTCACATTCAAGCACAGCACATGGATATGGTATCCCTTAAACCACCACTCCATTCGGGCCTATTTTGACAAACTAAAAGTGTTTTTTTTTTTTTTTTTTTTTTTTGACAAACCAAAAGTTGGATTTCACTGAGCCTAAAATCTACAGTGCCGTGGTGAGGCGAAAAAAAAAATTGTGGTTGGTACACTACTACACTTCCCTACGGAACCTCTATCGGGCCTGGGCACTGTATCTGCATATTTTGGCCCGGCACTTGTAGACTAGAAAACTGAAATGTGCAGAGCGTAAGAGCGAAAAATGTCAGAGCGGCGGTTTAAACTTTAAACCACCACCAGTACTTCCTAAAGTCGTGCCCGTTAACAACCCACAATTTTAGGAAATGTACCGGCCACTACAGGAGCGCCCAAATTCATCCGACTAGAAACGTTTCTAGTCTATTCGTTTCCGCGGCCAATAGCTGGCCCAAGTACTGGTGGTTTAAGATGACCGCTACTCAGATGGCAAGATGTGCAGATGCAGATGGAGATGCTTGAGAGTCCCCCCTTCCTCTTCCCTTCCTCTCCCCTTCCTTTCCCCTTCCTCTCCCGTCCCTCTTCGCTTCCCCCCTCCCCCCCTCCCCCCCTAACCCCCCCCTTTCGTCTATTTACCCAATTGAGAGTGTTTGAAAACCCATGTAGGAGTTCCTTTTTGAATTATGAAATGGTGTACTTTTTTTTTTTTTGGATGTGGATTTTGTGTAGATCTGGCGCAGAATCGGTACTTTGACAATCCATCGTTCATCAACTACCTCAAGTATCTGCTATACTGGACCAAACCTGAGTATGCCAAGTTCATAGTGTATGTTTCTCCGCTTCTCCCTCTTTCCCTTGCTCCCCTCTTTCCCTTGCTCCCCTCTTTCCCTTGCTCCCCTCTTTCCCTTGCTCCCCTCTTTCCCTTGCTCCCCTTTTTCCCTTGCTCCCCTTTTTCCCTTGCTCCCCTCTTCCTCCTCCACACCGCTCTCCTTTGTGCCTTTCTTGTGCACGCAACCGGTTTCTGATAATAGGAATTCCATCCATTCGCGAACCCATACCAGTACTCGAATCACATTTATTTCCTGAATTTAATTACTATTTCCTAAAAGGTCAGGATAGCCTCGGCTGGTCGCTCCTTTTATGTGTCGTCTATGTATATGATCTCATTGTTTTTGTTTTGTGTTTGTTCTCTGCGAATCTCCCTGGCCCTCTCAGTCTGTCTCTGCCTCTGTCTATATCCTTCTCTCTCTGTGTGCTTCTTGCTGTCTTGGTCTCCGTCTCTCATATCCCTCTGTGCTTCTGTCTCTGTCTCCGTATCTCATATCTCTCTCTGTCTCTGTCTCTCTGTCTTTCCGTCCGCGTCCGTCCGTTCGTCCGTCCATCCGTCCGTCTGTCAGTCTGTTTGCCTGCGGCTAATTTCCGTTACAAACTGAATTGTTTGTCTGTTCAACTGGTTTTGCAATGTACTTGGGGTTAGAAAAGACCTTTTCTTCCGCCAGATGGAAGGAAGCATGAGAGTGTTCACCATCTATTTCAATTCTTGACTTGCTGGTGGAAAGGAACCAGACTGACACCTGACACTCCCCAGAATGGATATGGACCCAGGACCAAAAGGACCTGTTTCAACCAAAGAAGAAGAAGAAGAAGTGAGAAGAAGAAGAAGAAGTGAGAAGAAGAAGAAGAAGAAGAAGAAGAAGAAGAAGAAGAAGAAGAAGAAAGAAAGAAAAGACTTGTAAGTTATCAACTTGGTTATGACCTTTTCTGTTGTATTTGTTTGAGGTTAGAAACAAAGACCTCACCTGTTCTTTGTGTTTACTTGGGGTGAAAAGAAACTTACGTGTGTTTGTTTTTTTGTTATTTATTTGGTGTACATAATGTGAAAAGAAAAACTTACATGGTTTTTAAACCGTTTTTGTATTTGTATTTATTGCTTTGGGGTGATGGATGGGGCAGATATCCGCATTCTCTCTTCTTCTTGGAGATGCTACAAAGCAAACAGTTTCGCAC